GGTCTCGTCAGAATCACGACAGCACGTACATTCAACTGGACGGCAATGTGGTGTGCCACCTCCCACGTTACAATCCTTAAACTTACCACCGCCAAACGTTCCTCCGCCTAATTTGTTACCAACAATGACGCAAATGCCACCGAGTATAATGTCGATTCCGGCCTCGCAGACGGTCGTGGTCAGCGTACCAAACGCGTCAAACGTGCCAAACGTTCCAAACGTTCCAAACGTTCCAAACGTCCCAAACGTCCCAAACGTCCCAAATATTCCGCCACCAAATGTAATATCATCCGTGATGATGTCCACTCCACCGCCAATTCGCAACGTGGCCTCAAATATAAATTCAATTCCACCGCCAAACTTGAACATCCCACCTCCGAACGTGCCGCCTCCATCCTTGATTCAAAATGCCGGGCCACCGCCGCTTTCTTTGATGTCGACCAGTTATCCTCTTCCTAATCAAGTCGCTCAGGTACCTATTGGACCGCCTAACGTACAAGTGCCACCACCGGTGAGGCCACTGACCGGTCTACGAGCCTCTGAGCAGCTAGGTACGATATGCCGATTATTTTCATTTCATATTTACCTCGTTTCGACGTATCGCCGCGTGTTTATTACCTTTGCGAGGAACAAGTTATTTCTCGTCGAATGAATTACTCGTTCGCGCAGTCCAGAATATATACGTAAGTGTGCTGCGTGCGTATGCGCGCGCGCGCGCGCGCGATACGCCGAATACAAGATACGCGTGGGCAAATATACGAAACTCGGGAAACGCAAATTCGCGCCGATCGTATTCGATTCGTGTACATCCGACGAATACACTACGGGAACAAAAACAAAAACAAAAACCAGAGTTTTTAGCGTTGTTACGCATGTCTGACAAAGGCTTCTAAGTGTGTCCCGTAGAGGCTGAGCAGCTGGCACGCATCGTCGCTGACTGTGGGGATGAAATCGAACAAGAAGCGCGAGAGAAGAATGCCCAAGATCCTAAATTATGGTAACTACTGTCCTCTCTGGCCCCCAGTATATAGTATCTTTATATCTTGCGTGTTTTATCAACTTTGTCGACCTTTTTTCGTTTCAACTTGCGCATCGTTCCTCTCTCTCTCTCTCTCTCTCTCTCTCTCTCTCTCTCTCTCTC